CGTAAAACCGTTTATTTATATGTCGCAGAGAACTAATTGTATCGTAATTGATTCAATATTTTTTATGAAAATAAAAGAAAGAAGTATTTCTATATAGTTTATTTTGAATTATATATATATATATATATATATATATACATATATATATATATATATATATATATATATATATAAAGGTAATTTGACTAAATTTATTCACGCAATTTATTCATCGCAATTTCTAAATGTACAAACAAACATGTTTTGAAAGCAGTTTTGCTATTGTAACCACAATCATTGCATTAAAATAGTAGTTATATAACGAGTGTATGAGTGATTCATAAATAAATATTCAAGGATAATAAATTGCTAATTACTACGTTCTACAAAAAACAGGCATAGCAAGGGCCGATTTCATAGTCTCTGATTAACTTGATCCTCCGATCTAGTTAATTAGAGACTGTGAAATCGGCCTGAGGATACAAGATTCCTTTTTCATAAGAATAGGAAGTCAAAGTAGATATAGTAGAATACTTGATCAAGTTCCAATTCGTGTGAGATTCTCAATGAATCAAATCAGCAACTTGATTCATCTAAAGAATTAAAGAAAAAAGACAACTTCCAATTACTTATATAAAAATTTAATCACAGGCAAATAATTGTGTATGAATTAAATGGGAAGGATCGAATTTCTGCAATAATTTGGACTCGGTACGAAGATTTAGCGAGGATTGAGCATGGAAATTTTGAGCGTGAAATTTGCACCGTTAAACGTACCTCTACAAAGAAGACTACAAACGTTAACTGCCGCGATATGGATATTCATCACCCCTTTCGGTGCTTTTTGGGGTTACATAATCACGGCTTATCTTCTACTCTACACAGAAACAATACGTTACTTCCTGGTACCGTACTTCCTTTGGATGTATTACGATTAGGACACCTGCCATCGTGGCGGTAGAAGGTAATAATTCTACCAATCACTTTTAAAGTAGTCGACACTGTGTACAAATAAAAATTTTAACAATTGCTTGAAGACAATTAATGCAGTACAGTAAATGAATAAAAAGTCTGTTGTGACATTTATTGAATGTTATATAAGAGAATAATATTATAGCCGCGCGATAAAAAAAGTATTTATAGAAATAATTATTGATGAATTATTAATGTTTAAGAACTAACTATGTCTTATATTTCAGTGAATTATGGACAAGAGTGGTGAGAAAAACGTATTCTGGCATTATTTTTGCAATTATTTTCCGTTAAGATTAGTGAAAACGGTGGACTTAAATCCTAATAAGTCTTATCTTTTCGTTTGCGTACCTCATGGCATTTTCTCCATGGGGATAATTGGTTCATTCGGAACGGACGCATTGGATTGCAAGAAGTTATTTCCTGGACTTGAAATGCGTCCAATTATTCTCGATCAAAACTTCAAAGTACCTCTGTTCAGAGAATATCCTTATTCCTTAGGTAAAGGCTTTTATTATTTTTTCTCTTTATTATATAAATTTTCCTCGTTTACAATAAGCAATAAATCTTATAGTAAACGCTTTCGATATTTTTTGCGATACATAAATACATTTATGTGTAACAATATTATGCTAATAAATAACATATGTTAATACGTAACGTATTTCTTGTCTGTAAAGAAGATTGTGTAAGTGTGCTCTGAGTTTTCATTAAGAAGAAACGGTTTGATATGTTAATGTAATGATAATTTAAGCGTGGATACTTCGAAAGAGATATTTTTATATGTAAATGAATCTCGATGATTAGCATTTATCCCACATTTTACGAGATAAGATTATAACAATAATGATGTTTACGCATGCAGGTTTCTGCGCTTCTAGCGTGAGAAGTATCGAGTATTTATTATCAACACCGCCGGAAAGCCCGTATACCGGAAAAGCTACAATTCTTATTGTCGGTGGTGTTTCCGAAATGATGGAATCTACGCCAGGCACTTATCGTATTCTTGTGAAAAGAAGAAAAGGCTTCATAAAATTAGCATTAAAACACGGGTGAGGGCGATTAAACATATTTTTTTACATTTGCATATATAGTTCTTAACGTACACGAACTATATTTTAATGTTCAGCAAAAATCACATTGAAAGAAAATATTGTCTTGCAATCTGTTCAGATAATAGTTTTTATAAAACATGAATCATACGCCGTAGAACAATAGACACTCATAATAATCAATGCGACTCAAATCTAATACAATTTTATGATTTAGTACATCATTGGTTCCTGTCTTCTCCTTTGGTGAAACGGATTTATACAATCAAATATATCGTCCAGAAGGATCGACTTTTAGACGCATACAGAACCATATTCGCAGTCTCATTGGCGTACCACCCATCGTTTTCTCGGGCAGAGGGTTCTTTCAGTATTCATTTGGCCTTATTCCGAAGCGATTACCTGTCACCGTAGTCGGTAAAGTTCTTTTTATGTGCACGGAGAAAATTTTATAGTAAATATTACTATGGTGTCGCACTAGCTGCGGACCATCGAGGAATTTTAAGTTAAATTACTATGTTTATGGTAAAAATTACGTTATTTTATCGTTTTTAAAACAATAATTATAGTATTTTAACTTAAAATTCCTCGATGGTCCGCAGCTAGTGCGACACCATAGTAATATTTACTATAAAATTTTCTCCGTGTGTTTATACGATTTTCCATATTTATATTTATATTTACTTATATTAATAATAATTATTTCGAATTTCATTTTACTTTGTTTTAGTGGGCAGTCCTATCGAACTACCGAAAATAACGGACCCCACGCCTGAAGAAATTGACACATATCATGACAAATTTATCAAACATTTGGTTGAACTCTTTGAGACGCAAAAGCACAATTATATAAAAAATGCAGAAAAAGTTACTCTCGAACTTAACTTATAATGCGTATATGATAGAATCATATAATCATATTTATATAATTTAGAATGTAGATTTGTGTTTCTGTTTCGAAATTTCCTAGGCATTCTAAAGATTGCTCCTCTTTCTAAGGGGGCAGTTAGAAACAGATGAAGAATGAGGTTAACCGAAGGCTACAGTTAACCGACGTTGGTGAAACTGGCCTTTAGAGAGATCCAAAAAGTTTCACGGGGACTGGAGGGTCGGATTGTCAAAAAATCATACTTGTTTTTCGAAATATTTTGACAACATTTTAACAATATTTTGACAATATTTTGTGACAAACTAATTAAATGTGTGCGAAAGTGAAAGAGATATATTTATACCTGATATATATGGTTGAAGTAAATACCGCTTTTCTTTTCAAGATCGTCGTTTTGCAATAATATCTCGGCTCTCGGTGATCTGATCGCGAATTTTAATTAGAAATCTTGAGGAAGCTTATCATTATCCGATAATTCACTACAAGAAACCATCGAATAAAAATTGACAAAATGGCAATTATTATTAAGAAAAAAATTCAAATTTTTCTGTCCTTTTACAATAAAAAAATTAATATCTCAAAATAAAATATTTTTATGGGCTTGTCCATGATTCACCTGAGAGCTAGATGAACGAACATTGCTTTAAAATTAAAATTAATTCAAAGCTTAATTTCAGAGAAATCACTGCAAAAAGTTAAAAAGTAAAACTTGGAGAAAAGCGCGTTTAAATGCGATTTACACATCAATTAATCATACCTCAATTATGATATTTACTTACTTTAATTAATGATACTTACTTTATGCAAATAAGTATTAGTAATTTCAAAAAATAAAATTTAAAAAATTGAAAATTTGACTTTCCAGTCCCCTCAATGCATCTTTGTTATGTGCATTATTATGCCATTTAATCTAGCTTACTTATAAAGTCTCGATATCAAATTAGAAGTAAAGTCAAGACTTATAAACATGATGCATAAAAAAAATATATAATTTAATCACGAGATATGTTTACACACATTTCCTGTACTACATATCGAGTATATATCATTTATGTATATTCTTGAAATGTTATTAAAATTAATAATATTTTTCGAGAGTATAGCCCTAATTTCATATTTTATAATACTTAAAAATTAATTTCTTGTCTCAAGCTATATGTTCAAATTGTAAGTATAGTAAATATATAACGCAATTGTAAAAAATACTAATTATAAAGGGTCTAAATTATATAAAAGGTAATTATACACATCATAAAGAACTACAAAAAAATATTTAATAAATATTTTTTATGTCTGAACTAATAGTAAAGTAATTTGATAAGGTCTGAATTAATAAAATAAACACGCTAGCAATCATTATAGTACAATTATTGTATTTGGCAAATAAAATAATTTTTTAAAGTATCACTACTATATATATATAAAATAAATTATATAATTGCTATTATATATATGTATATATATAACTGTAATGTATATAAATATATATAATTCTAATTTAGAAGAGACAATTAAATACAAAAAAAAGTGATATAAAAATTAATTATTAACTATATTGTCATTGCTATTCAATCATAACTTATTGACAACTAATTGGCATATAATTGTATTAACGTGATATTTGTTACAATTATAATAATAAAGAAGCGTGAATGGGACATTTTTATTTTAACTCAAATTTAAACTGAATATATGTTTTAAATATCAATACATGTTTTAAATATTGCAGAATTATTTATATCTTTACTTCGCAAAATTATAAACTTTATTTAGAAAATACCAGATATTTGTCAAAGAAATAAGAATTTCAATACCACTATATGTGCAAAAAGCATCTTTCAATTTAATACAACACTAATTTACATATACGTAACAAAATATTAGGTTAACGGCGCATAATCTAAAGACCGACAATCGTTAAATAATTCTGCAGACAGTGTCTGATGACTGTAATTTACGATAAAACTCGAACGAGCCTGACCATCGGATTTTGAACGTTGGAACTTCGTTCATGGACGATCATTCAAGTGTTTGTGAGTATGTGAGTGAGTGCGTGTAAACACATGAATACTCCGTTACACATGCTTTCCTCATGCTATCGGCAATCGGCAAAATCCAACAGTAGGACGGGTGACGCCGTGCCGAACGCTCCGTGGAAGCATAGTCGCAGAGACAAATATACCTACGCACGACGCACACACGTGGCCGCCTGCACTGAAACGCGCTATCTCACCTGTAGGAAACGACAGTCTGTGACCTGGCAGTGTACCAAAAGAAAAAGTGCGATCTTAATACTCTGTACTTGCCGAGATAGCCACAGGAGTCTAGGTAATAAATCGGAAAGGCCGCGTGTATCTTGTATACAAGCTAGATTACAATCGAACTATTCGGAGCAAGAACGTTCGAACGTACGGTACGCTTATCGAACACGAGTTGCGCTATAAGTTGAATTCGTTTCACAGTGTTTGAGAATTTGACAATTTATGTAAAAAAAAGTTGGGATTTGAAAAATAGTATTTTATAAATAGTAGCAATTAGTTTTTATTTATTCCTCATTACCGACATTTGTTTGAATTAGATTTTTTCGATTATATTTGTTTACAGCCTTAAAAAAAATATTAATAATATAAAATTTAAGATATTCTGAAGTTTAGCATATCGATATTCTCTCACAACTTGCATTTTCACATGTATAGACATGTAGATAGCTACAGCCGGACCTTATTTTTCAGTGTGTCTCATATTATTGCTCAAAATAGCGTTTTTTAATTAAAATTATAAATCTAATATAATCAAACAGTGAAATATATAAACGTATATCTTTTAGGTAACTACTCGAAATCACTGGTATCTATGGCAAGTGATAAATCTACGATAACGATAAGGTATTTTATTCTCTAAAAAGTTTCAAGGAGAGCATAACAGCGACACCATAAACCGGTTTGTGAAATCATCTGTAAAAATACCGCAGTAAGTTCATTTAAGCTATAAAAAAAGTATTTGTATATGTGTCGCAAAAAACTGGCTGTATTTGGCATCGTACCAATTTCTTATAAGGAAAACGGTAATTTGGTCGCGCGATCGCGATTTAACATGCAAATAAACATGTAAGTCAATCACTATTTAAATAATGTTGAGACAATTTTATTCCTCTTGTCATATTTGTTATAATTAAAATATGGAATATAAATATCGGAAACGAGTATGGAAATGTAATAATGGAAAAGATCGCGGCGTAAACTAAACGAAGAATCGATTTGTAAAAAAAACATCGAAAATAGCATAGATATAGAAACAAAGTCCGTTCCTTGCGGAGGAATCAAAGATAGACTTTGTGCGTCCGTGCGTCCGTTTGATAAAGTGCCAGTTCATATTAGATCCACGGTCAGCCGAAGCGATGCAACCAGTTATTATAGAAGAACCGAAAAAGCATTCAGGTTCTAATAAAAACATTGATTGATCGATATATAGGCAATGTGTACCGTGTGAAACGAAAGGAATCGGTTTTCTCCGATAATTTAAACTTTGCACGAAGACTTAATGAGAAACATGGAAATTCTGGGCGTGAAATTTGCACCGTTAAACGTGCCTCTGAAAAGAAGACTACAAACGTTGGCCGCAGCGACATGGATTTTTGTCACCGCTTTTGGTGATTTTTGGGGATACCTAATCACGGCTTATCTTCTATTCTACACAGAAACAATACGCTACTTTCTGCTAGTGTACTTCCTTTGGATGTATTACGATAGGGACACTTGCTATAGTGGTGGTAGAAGGTAACAATTCTATTAATCTCTATTAAAGTAGTCGACGCTGTAGATAAATAAAAATCTTAGCAATCGCTTGAGAATAATTACTCAATGCAGCACAGTAAATAATTTAGTAAAAAATATGTTATGATATTCATTAAATCTTATATAAGAGAATAGTATTAGCCGTGATAAACACTCTTTATAAAGATGACAATTATTAATGTTTAAAGAATGATATATGACTATATCTTATATTTCAGTGATAATACATGGACGAGAGTGGCGAGAAACAATGCTTTTTGGCGTTATTTTTGTGATTATTTTCCAATAAAATTAGTGAAAACGGTGGACCTAAATCCCAACAAATCTTATCTTTTCACTTGTGTACCTCATGGCATTTTATCGATGGGGATAATGGGTTCATTCGGGACGGACGCATTGGGTTGCAAGGAGCTATTTCCTGGATTAGAAATACGTCCAATTACTCTCGATCAACACTTCAAAGTACCTCTGTTCAGAGAATATCCTTATTCCTTAGGTAAAAACTCTTAATAGTTTTTTCACTAAGTTTTTCTCGTAGTTTTTTTTTTGTAGCAAGCAAAGTCTTGATGTAGTAAAGAACCGGATCAGTATTCCATATATAATGGCATATTTTGGACGTTTTATTCAATCAGTATATAAATACATTAGAATTATATTATATACATTAAAATTTTTATTATTACAGTAGAATATTTTATTATTACATTAGAATATTATGTTAAAAATGATATTATAACATTATATATTTAACAAAATAGTTATTTAGTTCGACCTGTCTGGCCACCATTATTGAATGTTAACTTGTCACGACGTTTCGATCATGGGTTGCGATCATACAGGAATTCCTCAATTTTTATGTATTTATTCATTTACGCACTTAATTATTTATTTATGTATCGTTTGTGTGACTGCAATCCATGATCGAAACGTCGTGACAAGTTAACATTCAATAAAGGTGGACAATCGTACTAAATAACTATTTTGTTAATTTTTTACTGGCGAAACAAAATATTAATTTCTGTCCATTATATATTTCTTGTCTATAAAGAAGATTGTTTTTTAAGCTATTTTTCTATCATGTGAAAAAATGCATTGTCCTAATGATAATTTGAATATGCGTGTACTTCAAAAGAGATGAAAGTTTTTTTGTATGAATTTTTTTTTTTGTGTGAATTTTGAATTAATAATAAGTATTCGAAATATATTGTATATCATTTCCTTTCCGTAATTTAATTATAACGGTAAATTCTCGAATGCTTATAGGTTGCTGTGCTTCTAGCGTGAAAAGTATTGAACATTTACTATCGACACCACCAAAAAATCCACATACCGGAAGAGCTACAATTCTCATTGTTGGTGGTGCTTCCGAATCACTGGAATCGACGCCGGGAAGTTATCGTATCCTTATAAAAAGGAGAAAAGGCTTCGTAAAACTAGCACTAAAATACGGGTGAGTAATTATATACTTTTTGACATTTGTGTGGTATTTAGCATATGATTTAGCATATGATAAATTATATTTTTATGACTCTATTTACCGTAAATTATATTTTAAGGAAAAAATTTTGCAATCTATTCACGCAATAGCTTTTATAAAATGTAAATCATATACCGCGCAAAATAAAGAAAAATGTAAAGTACGATATTAATCACACATAATAATTATACTCAATACCACTCAAATCTAATACAATTTTATGATTTAGTACGGCGTTGGTTCCTGTTTTCTCCTTTGGCGAAACGGATTTATACAATCAAATATATCGTCCAGAAGGATCGACTTTCAGACGCATGCAGAATTATATTCGCGGTCTCATTGGACTGGCACCTATCGTTTTTTCGGGCAGAGGATTCTTTCAATATTCATTTGGCCTTATTCCAAAACGATTACCTGTCACCGTAGTCGGTAAAGTTTCTCTCTGTATATTCACAATTTTATACATACGTTGATACCAGAAAAGTACTAATGTGCATACTAAATTGCTAAATATTTCATTATTCTGACTCTATATTCAAATTTTACCTTTCTTTTTATTACAGTTGGCAATCCTATTGAATTACCGAAAATAGAGGAACCCACGACTGAGCAGATCAACGAATATCACGAAAAATTTATGAATGGTTTAGTTGAACTCTTCGAAACACAAAAACACAATTATATAGACAATCCAGAAAAAGTTACTCTCGAGCTATGATATCCATCGCATTCAAATGTTATAGTGATGTAATGTAGAATGTAAATTTGTCATTATTTCGAAATTTTCATTAAAGAAATTATTACTGTTTTAAAGACAAGATCTCAGAAGAAAAAGAAAAAGAAGAAGAGAGATTCTATGTACAATTAAGAGATCTTAATGTACATTGTTATGTTATTCATTTAATACAATTTACTTATAAAGATCCTCAATATAGATTATAAGCAAGGTCTTGTAAAAATACGTGCAAAAGACTATATTGAATGGAATTTAGTTAGTAGTGTCATTGCAGCGATTTATATATTATACATGTATGAAGTATGTATTCTATTAGAAGCATGTTATTAAAATTAACATTGTTCTTTGAGATTAAAATCAATTTTTTCTCCAGTTTTGTAATATTTAAAAATTAACTTGTTGTAAGATCTATGCTCAAATATGCATATATAAGTTTACTTCATAAATAATAATTAATAAGTATCATTTTGTGTTTAATTCGATGATAAAATAAACACGTTAATAATTAATAGATTTATTAAAATAAATAAATTAAGTATTTTTTTATAACTGTCGTTATTGTATATAAAACTATAAAAAAATGATGATTGAGATATGTATGATTAAATAAAATGATTAAATACGTAAAAATGTTATTTCTAAGAATTAAGTATTAGTTATGGAGTCCTTATAATTAGGTCATAATTTATTAATGCTATCTGGCAAGCGATCTCGAGTTCAAATAGCGTTTCGCAAAAGAGGAACAGCTAAGACAGCAAAAATCAGAAATCCGAGACACAAAACACTCATTCTTAATACCTGCAATGTAAGAAACAGTTTTTCATTGCGTGCATTTTATTGCTTGTTATACCTTGTCCGTACCTTATCCTGCCATTCTTTGTGCGCTATGCATTCACGAAAACTCAAGCGAGTAAATTGTACAGCAAAATAGAGCGGTATCCAGGAATTGGGAATCAGAGTGTATAAAATTTTGTCTAAAAACTTTCGAAAAAGAAAAGATTTTCTCGTCACTAAGTCTCTCATCTGAAAGATATAATTTGAAAATTAGTTTCGAGCCGAGACAAATATATGAGTATCCGAAAGCGATAAGTAGGCAAATTTTACAGATTCATGTATACCTCAAGATAATTATACATTGCGAGATCGCATATTGCATGTCCCTCATCGCATCGTAATTCCGAAAATTTCGACAGAACTTTTGCAAAGTCCGAATCATAGAGTTCCATTAATTCATCGAGCACTAGAATATCTTCGAAACCCTAACGAAATGAAAAGAAAGATATCGTAGAAACAAATTCCATTAATTATGCTCCAATATCTCGTAACAAAAAGTGTTATTCTATTTTTTCTCTGCAAGTGTCAAAATATTGCAAAGTAATTTGGTCCTCAAATCGACTCGATCAAATAACTTACAGTGTTCATTCCTTGAGCGTAGAAAGGAACCATGGCATGGGCAGCATCTCCAACTAGGACAGCGGTTTTTCCAACATGGTAAGGTTTGCACTGCAATATGCACGAAGAGATGTTAGATTATATCCAAAAAAATCGAGCGACCGCAGAATATAATAAAATTAAAATTAACCTTAATTGATATTAATGTCTGTGGTTCTTTTTCAAAAAACTGCTTCACCAGTTTCTCCTTGCCGATCAATTGCAGAAGATCCGGGAAATGCTCGGTGTAGAATCTCACCAACGCTTCGGGCGTTTTTAGCTTTTCGAACACACGAAATGGAGCGAACAGATTGCCGGTAAACGTGCGATCTTCGTTCGGCAAACTGGTCATCATAAATTCACCGCGCGGCCATATATGAAGATTGTTGCCGCTCATCGCAAACTTTGAAGTGGTCAAGACATTTTGATAAATCCGTATAACAAAGTTTGAAAAAACTTGATTAGACTCGCACTACGGGATTATATTTTTTCACGATACTCACTTCGTTATCTTCTTTACGCGGAACAGAAATTTCCACGTAGCCGTGCTCAATGTACGTTTGGGCGCAATTAAAAAGTGGCCTCCTAGTCATAATTTTTCGTACTTTCGAATGCGCGCCGTCGGCACCTATTATCAAATCAGCTTCCGCGTCTTCTGTCGTCCCTGTATTCGTACTGAAGGCGAGAAACGAGCTAAATAAGGCAAAATACTAATTTATTTGATATTTATCATTCACTTACTCACTTTAAGAATTTCATTTTTCCATTCTCTAAATCGGCGTCCACGAGCTTTCTGTTGAAATTGAGTTGCACTTCCGGATATTTTTCCGCGGCTATCGATAAAATATAATCACAAAAAAACGAAATTTACTTCTAAATTAGATTTCATGTTAGATTATAGTTACCCGATATCGCGACTTAAGTCTACGTTATGGAAAACGGGTGGTACAAGAGTAAGATGATACGTGCGAATTTTTGTGGCTTCGCGCACCACGGTGTCATCAAATATCACGTAGGAGCAGAGGAGAGCTTTTTTTAACTGACTTCCCGCATTCTATCTCGTATTCCCTTGACTTTCTTGCGACATGATATGATTACGACAATGAATTGACTTTGTCCAAGTATTTATCGAATATATAGAAAGATACATTGCTTTAAATTATGATTTTACATAAAAAAGTAAATAAGAAGTGACTGTAGAAATTAATTTCTTATATAGTCTTAACTTAAAAAAAATTAATTTTAAAAAATTAAAAATGTTTTAGTCGTTTTTAAGTTTATGTATGTCATTTTTAATTATATTAAAATATAATTCGATTATCTCAACAATGGTTATAAAAAATCATTAGGAGGCACGATTACGATAATTGTGGCTCCTTGATTTGACGATGGTTTCTGGTATTATTTTTTACGCTAAACAAAAAATTATATAGGTCTTATAGGACTAACTGCTCTAGTGTTCGAGATATGCCTATAGTGTGTTAAATTTAAAAATAAAGGGACGATTACGATAACTTTGGCCTCTTGAAATATGTAGTTTTCGGAGACATTTTTGGCGAGAAACACGGAAAAAATATAGTAAAGTTTTTGAAATAATGAAATGGATTAATTGGCGTTAAGAAAACGCATCGTTGCTTTTCACAAAAGTATTGTATACTATATCTATGTAATTGCATATTGCAAATTGTATAATTTCTCAAAAATTGTTTCTACTATTATTTTTCCCCCTCCAGACCACAGGCACAACTTTTGTCTAAAACATTTTTTTTTTTAATTAAAAACAAAAAAGTTTTGGAGAAAAATTATTTATGGGACATCCTCTCTGAGTTTAAAGTGGAGAAAATATTATTAATTCTCAAACGATTTTCTTTAAAATAAAATTCACATTTTATCTCGTATTTCTAATTTTTTCTATTTTTAGCATTAACTCTTCTTTTAAATTAATATCATCAATAACAGAATCATGTTCCGCGTTATTATAATAAATTATTTGAATTCAAATTTATTTCAAACAATAATGAAGAAACGTACCGTCCAACAGAACCACGTTGAGATATCGCCTATTAACGGAGTAAATGCACTGCAAAATATAAAACTGACCTTACTAACATTTAAAAGATAAGCAAATTTATATGTGAATATGTAGACAATGTTTCGGTCATTCAAAATAATCAATAAAAACGGAAAAAACGCACATTTCTTCTGACGCTATCGTAAAGAACTTCTTTCAAATTGCCATCTTTGTCGTGAAGCATTCTGCCGCGCATGCAAGTACCATGACGGTTCACCAAAATATCTTCGAGACCAATCGCTTTTAAAGCTTCTCTACCACGGAATGACAGCGCCAGATTGATACTTTGACCACGCGACTTTTCCATTCGTATGTCTAAAAATGTGAAGACTCGAAATCGATCACTGACCTTCTATAATATTATTTCCTACAACTTTTGGAAAATAACTAGAACTTTATCAGCCTTATTTTAAAATCATACTTGTAAAAAAAAATATCAAGTAAACACGTATTGTATACTATATCTTAATGTATCGTCTAATGTGTTACAAAGGATAGAATATGGATTTCTAAGAGTAATAAGTCACGAAATAAGCAAGTAAAATTCCAAGATTTGTATACAATTTTTCAGCATTTTTTACCTGATCGATATTCATAAATAACTACTCGATGACCTCTTTTAGCGAAAAAACACGCAGCTAATGCTCCGACCTAAAACACAAGCAATAACTTCTTTCTCTTATTCACCATCCTTTGGCACCAAAATAGAAAAATAAAAATATTTCACGCACCAAACCACCCCCGACGATGGCAATACGTGACTTCTCTCCCACTTCTGCCATACCTATTCCGTTCTGTATCGAGGCTACTGATCAACTGTACTAGCAAACTTTCCCCGTGCCTGTTTATATACATTCTCGCACACCACATCGATATCTTATACAAGAAATAACTGACAACATTGTTTTTATGTTTTTAAGGAATGCTTTTAAGGAAATATTTAGAACATTTTTACAAAACAAAAGAGCTGATACGATTCAGAAGTTTTATAGCAGCAGACAAATTCGTGCAGGAATGATAAATTTTTAATAATCGTTACATTCATTCCCGTGTTACTTTTGTCCCTAGTCTCCCCTAACTATCACAGATTATAGAAATCTGTATTTACATATTGTATTATTAAAACAATTGCAAATGGCACAATTTTAGAACAGTCTTTTCGATTCCCAATGCATTAAAAAACTTGAAAAACGGGAAAATAGAAAAAGACAATCGTAATAGATTCTCACGTTGCAATGTGTAGTCTACAAAATAAAGTGTAAATGTGATTACAAAGCTTCACAGACTAAAAGACAATTAAAGATCAGAGTCTACAAATACACACAACATACATGCAAATCAGACATAAAAAAGTGGGTCTTTTTCAGTCATTTCTATATAGTCATTTCAGTCATTTCATTCCGTTTATGACAAATCACGAATTTGGCTACGGTCAACGTGACGCTACAAATGCTTTGGAGCGTTCTTCCTCTCTTTCTTTCTTCATTAAAAGAAAAGAGAAAAGGAATGTTTCGAAGCATTTGTAGCGTCACGTTGACCATAGCCTTTGATTGAGATAACTGAGATAATCTAAATTTTAAATAATAAACCTTCGTTCATAAAAATACTTGTTTCAGAGATGTGGTTTACCTAAAAAGACAAAACAAGCAGAGTAATACAGAATTATTGCCAGATGCGTATCTTCCTGTTCTTAATCTATTACCACTCTCTTAATACATCTCTCTTAATACATCTCCGTTCCACATACAACCTATCAAAATTTGTCTCAACCCTATGTCTTCCGTTTTCTTACTTTCTGTTTACATCTTTCGTAACCTTCTCATTTATCAAAATATCCACAAGGTACACCTATGAAATTCCTTTTTCGGTGATCTTTTAATTCCCAAGTACTGCATGTCTCTCTCATTTGCTTTTTGACAATTAATTACATTATTAACCATAATTAATTATAAAACCACACTCTAAATTAAATTATGTTATTGTTGACCTTCATAACATTTACCTAGAATTCAAATACAAATCGAATTTTTGGTCCATTTCAGTTCTTAATCATAATGCAATTTGACACGGCTGTTTTCGGCCGCCGGGAATGACATAGTTCTAAACTCTACTTTTTGAAACTCAATTAGCGGCTTGCTCCAACAAAATTGCTTTTTTGTCTGTGCATATTTACAGATAGAATTAAAATCCAATTTTTAAATATAACAAATAAGGAATAGTGAGAAAGACAATCGGAGCCACGCGCGCTAATTATTGCGCAATCAAAATATAGTCAATAAGATAAAATAATAGTAATTTTAATTTATATTAATTTTGTTTACACGCTAAAAATGACACAAAGAAAATGTCGAAACGTTCAAATATGTATTGACTAATATATTTTATCTTATTGACTATACTTTGATTGTGCAATAATTACCGCGCGTGGCTCCGATTGCCGCTCTCACTATTCCTTATTTGATTTATTCAGAAGAGCTTATACTTAGTTTATTATTTTTAAATATAATATTCGCGTAATTAAGAAAAAATTATTAGGCACATACACTGCCTCTTTATATCGCGATCAAAGTAGCAGTGCTTTCTTTTAAATAAAAAATTCGCTCTATTATGAATTGTTACGATGGAGAATGAAGAGTAAAACACCTGGTAAATACAACGCGGCGACGTCATCTTAACCGTTGTCGTCGCCGTCGTCGTCATCGTCTTCGGCTTCGTCTTCGTCGTTCCTAACGCCGTTCTCCCTGTGGCCGACGCTGTCCGAAAATTCAAAAATAGCCGATGTGCGGCAGTCAGTGCGGCGATGTCGACAGCGAACGACGGTTCGGCGGTACGGTTCGGCCGATGGTGGTGGTGCTGGCGAAGAAGAAGGCGGAGTACTACGACCCGCGGCCCTACGATGCCGACGACGATGTACCATCCGAGGACGATCATCCTTCTGAGCGTACTGGCGTTGATCTCGGTCCTCCTGGGTCACGTTGACGCCGCCGCAAGGACGAAAGCTGAGGAGTCGGCCTCGTCCCGCGGCTCGGCCGGCAGGCAGAAGGAGGCCGAGCCGGTGATCGAGGAAGTCACTGCCAAACAACTCGAACGGCTCCTCAACGAGAAGGACTTTGTTGCCGTGTATTGGTGTAAGTGCTTCACCACTCGTGTAACGATCCTTCGATCTTGTCACAAATTATCACGTGATACGCGAACGGTAAACAAATCCTATCTGTCTAAAACGGGGTAGCACGCGACAACAGGTACGACGCGATCCTTGAATTTATAGTATGCGAATGGAACTCTTCAAATTCTAAATATTTGAAGAATTCTAATTGAAAAAAAATGAATATTCACAACAAAACTTTCTTTTATAATTAAAAAGCAATCTTACGTTTCCGATGCGAATGTCGTATGCGCGAACATTTTAATTGTTGAACATGCTCAAGATGATCTCGACGACGTGAACTTTTTCTTCTCCGTTATCACACGCTTGATAATGGATTCTCAAGATTCTCGAATCGATAAAAAATTTCTTTTTTCGCGCAATTATACTTCGTGAAATAGTGCATATCTAACAGTCTTATTTTTTTATTTGCATAATTATATATATCCTATTTTGTTGATATAAAAATGAGATTTTCTTTTTAATTTATTTCTTTATTTACGCACAAAAAAATATACGCGCACGTCCATTTCATAAACCAGTAAACGAACCGTTGGATTAACGATAGAACGTTACATTTCGAATAGGACATCTGGACGTTTGTCCAGAGTCATGATCACGGACTTTTCGTCTGGATACATCTTGCTTAGCGCGAGCGAAGAGTTAGTCTCGAATGAGCAGCCGATGTAAGCGTTTGATTTGTACAGTTACGAGAATACAATTCGGTCTTCCTAGACATTTTTAGTGATCCTCCCGAACTCACATTCTTCTCTTCCTATAAATTTTCAAATCCGAAATGTAACGTTCTATCGTCAATTCCAACGGTTCGCCTACATAAAAATAATAAAAGTTTTTCTACGATAAATATATAATAAAATGCCATCCCCGAACGTTGTGCTCTGCAAAACAATATTTCCTACATATTGTTCGATATTAATAAATACTTTATTCAGACACAATATATGCAAAAAAATAATATTTATAAAATAATGTGTGTAAAATGTACATGACAGTGATAAATGGAATAAATGGAAAATAGCAAACATAAAAAACGTCGGCAAAGCAAAATCTTAAAGAAACTTTAGCTTGACACATTATATTAAAGTGTCCATATTATAAATTCTATACAAAACTCTCCAAGAATAAAAAAATATAATTACTCAATCATTGGCGTTAAATTATAGCAGATCTTCTTTAAAGATACAGATATCATGTGCAACAGACATTCTACACTTCTACTTCGTAAAACTGCATCGCTCTATCTCATGCCACTTTATAATTCTCTTTCGTTTCTTATCATATTAGGCTGATTTATTTTTGTTAGTCGTGAAAACGTATTAACATTTTCCGGATTTTCGTTAGTATATTATATAACGCGAGTGGGTGTTGATGAAAGCTACGCTTGTTACGGAACACTGCTCGTCATTGAGACCGTTTTATGTACCTATACATCAAAAGAAATAATAATTTTTCAGAATAATCACGAAAAGTTGTCTGTTTATAGGTGGTTATCGCTTTCATTTATAAGTTTCATTGTTAAGCACGAAACTTTATATAAAATGGCACTCATAAAAAGTACCCTATATTGCATTTTTGAGAAACTGCGACAGTTTCTCAGTCAATATGCATATAAGAATTTTATCGTTTCGAAAAAGTAAAGTTTTATGCTTATGTATTAATTCAATATTCCGCACTTTTTGCTTTCAATTCTATCTCCCTCTTTCTCTCTCTCTTTATCTTTCTCTTCGGGAAGATAACTACTATATGATTAAGTCTTCTGTAAAGTTATAATCTCGCGATACTTTGGTAGCGATACATCGATACATGCTTCATGAACGATAGTTCTACTCCCGCAAATTACCCTCACGTGAGAATTAACAGGTACTAAATCTACTTCTTCTGCCAAGTGCTATGACCGCTCAGTAGGACAACCTGTCTCGAGGTGGCCTCCCCAGTTTGCTAATCTAGCAGCCTAATATCACGCGGGAAACGCTTTATTTAATTTAAGCTGTAATAAACGATCTCCCATGTTAATCATCCGTATAGAAGAATATCGAAATTAATTGCATAATATTGTTTTTTAATGTATTAAGATATTAAATTGCACTATATGCTGAATATACCGAAGGTCACATCTCGCGTGGCAACGCGCCAAAATGCATCCTTGTGTACGCTTTTCGGAGCTCCCCAAAGGTAATTGATGTAACACAATCCTTCCTTTTTTCAATAAACGGGACAAGTATCGACGAATGTGTCTCTCTGCATTTTTTTATAAAAATAAATATAGAACTTTATGAAATCCGATAAATATCAATGCGCCGATATGCCTTAGGATATCTAAAAAGTGCAGGACGTAAACTTCAGGACGTTTTAAAGATACGTGAATGTTCATTCGGATTTGTATATATTTCCGGGTTTCATCATGATCAGTGGGAGACGAGTTATGAACCTTTGCTTGTTAAAGCAATCCAGGGAACACATATAGCGCAAACTGACTCATTAGCGTGACGCATGGCGAGAGAGAAAGAGAGAGAAAGAGAGAGAAAGAGAGAGAGAGAGAGAGAGAGAGAGAGAGAGAGAGAGAGAGAGAAAGAGAGAGATGCGGAAGTGCACGAGCGATAACCGTGGAAATACAATCATGATCTAGCGATTTGATTCGCGTGTAATAATAATTTTATGATGTACAAAATAATGTGTGACTAAATGTCTAGTACATAATTTTAGACAAGCCAACTAATTTTGCGTGATAAAAATCAATATTTGTTCGTGTAATTACATTCGAATTCTATATACATATTGTATATAAATTATTTTCATTTTTGTTCATGTATCAATTTCGGAGAAATCGATGCTCGAAAAATGGTAATTTGGGAACCGGAAAGGAATGGAGGACGTTATGCAAATAATGTGTTTACAAGTGCTATCTTAAAACAAGGTTCCCGGCACGAGATAAAATTTCTGACAACCTGTTTGCGCGCCTACATGTCGCTCGAGAGCTCGCATACCCATCGTGATTTTCTCTTGAATCATCTTTTCGTAATACCAAGTGATATAATCGACCCCAGATTTTCGGCCGCGAACACACCAACGTGCGTTCGTATCACCGACGTGCGGTAAGCACGAGAAGCTTTTCTTTTACCGCGTCTACTCAAAATACATTGTCGCGAAATCCCGCGTTCACCGTAACTTTAGCTGCGCGGAAACAAGATGAGGAGATCGGAGGAATTGACATTTAATTCTTTTTGTGAAGACATTTGTTGTGCAAAGTCAAAGGACATTTTTATTCTTCAATAGTTTCCCCCCGTGGTCCCCTTCTTAATCAGAACTAAAACACAAAACACACCTGAAATTCAAGATTGATCGGCCGAACCGAAGGACGAAAGACAATCGTCGAAAGAGATCCGCCCGCCTCTTAAACGCGCTGTAGCAAGGCTGGCGCTCCGGTGAACGCCGCTTTTAGCGCACGTTAAAGTTATTTTCGCGCTTACCACTGAGAACCCCTCTCTTCTTCTCGGCTATCATCTACGCTGAAAACATAATACCGTCCCAGCCGTGACGACCACCCTGCGCATTCGTAGATCACGTTCGGCTCGCGACGTCGTGCAACTCGGACCTGTGGCCGATCGTACGTCAATCTCTCTTCTGCGAAATGATGCATCGAGCCCTATCGGAGCAAACGGTGAATCCGAGAGAACTCGGGAGGGAAGAGGATCCCAAATGATGACGAGCTTGCGTGCCGAAACCTATTTCCAGATACCCAGTTCTGTCCGTTTCACGCTGTCGTACTCGCGCGAACGAAGCTTTTCTCTTTTCCAGTTTATCACTCCACGTTTGCGTCAAGCTAAGCTCCTTTCGAGCTAATTGTTTCACAAACATTAGTCTATGAATTACTTCTATGATCGAAGTAAAAGACTGAAGCAAAAATTTTATGGAATTTGAGGAACGTAATGACGCGATAATGTCTTGTATAGAAAAGAAGATGCAAAATCTTGATACAAGAGTTTCTGGCGTGGAATGAGAAGGAAGGAAGGAGAACGATTATCGAGAGAGAGATATACGATAGAATCGACTGGCGAAGCGTCGGAGGACCCAGACGACGAGCTCTCGCGTCGAACCTATTTCCAGCTGCGGCTGCGTCCTCGCGACTCATGTCGCCGTACGCTCGTGTCGAATTCTTTTCTTCTAGGTTACCGTTTAGTGGCTCGTACGTCTCTATCTTCCTCTCTTTATCGCGTCTGAACCGATTAACGTGACACCCTTGTTGTCACCGACAAAAAAGAATGCGTATTCGCGCATCGGAAATTGTGTATTGCCGTTAGAACGCTGCTTTAACGCAGTTCTAAGATATCTCTGATAAAGACAGACGCAAAGATGTAAATACAGGGCTGTTTAAAAAAAATCTATTATTTTCATGATACCGAGTAACCATTGACAATAATGAAATTAGCAGACGTCAGATAAAATCACTTCGACGTGTATCAAAAAGTTATATGATTTTATGGCAGCCATTCGAAACGAGAGCGTAATTCGGCGCGATGCATCGTTCGTGTAATAATAACACCGAAAGCAGTATCGGCGTCTCGAGAGCCCTAGACATCCTTTCGGCCAGAAATCTAAAATTACGCATATCCACTGTGCGGGCGAATGCTTCTTCCGCCTTTGGGCGATTTCAAATCGGACGGTAAATAAGCAAATATTTCTTGTTTTTTCGAAATTTTTCTTTTTTTTTGTTCTTGCGTATAACATTGAAATGTGTGTATTTATATAAAGTTATAACATTAAGACGTGTGTATTTATACAAGGTTCCAATGCTGTGACAATGATAGTCTTCGAGATATCAAATTTCTTAGTTTGTGCGAATTCTAAAATGTCACGATGTATTCAAAGTGATGTAAACATTTTAGACATTTTAAACAACTTAAAATAAAGAACTCTTACTCACCTTAGAATACGTTTATTACAATTCACGTTAAGTTAAATATACTTTTAAATAAGATGTTTAATTTTTTGCTTTGAAGTAATCGACATTTTTTTCTCTAAACCCTTTAACTAGAAAATGCGGTGTCTTCAACCGATTATAAAAACAATGGTTATGACATTTGAATTTTACATTAATATATATTTTAATATGCTCTAGTGTAAAAGACTGAAAAAAATTAAAAAAATTGCTTATTTACCGATGTCACGATGTCTGTCTTGATGTAAAATCATCTCTTTACGTCACGGTGATGTGAAACACTTATTTCGCATGAACACGTGGCCCCCCCCCCCCCAAAGTTGTCGGGTCAATGAATTAAAAAAATATATACGCGTGTACCTATGCAAATAAATTCAAATTTCCTCACTGCAACTAAATTAAGTTACAATTTTAAAGTAAAAAATTACGAATCTCTTCTTTACATTATAGACTAAAATAAATTAATTATTTTGCAGTTGCAGCTCTTAATTGATAAAATACATTTATAAAATAATTAAACATTTTCTTCTTGGTTAATAGATTTGAACTTTGAACAATTGCCAAAAATATAAAACACCCGAAAATTAAATTTACTTATTAACAAAAAAAGTTTCTAGCAGTATTCTAACAGTATAATAATTTATCAAATATGAATAACGATATGCATTAAAGATACTAATTTATTTCAATATGTAGTAAAAAAAGTTTTATAAGATTTATAAGATTTTTCACTATCATAATCTAATACCCAATAAGTAAAAAATGCAGAATTTCAGAAGAATTTAAGAACTCTACATCCTCTACATTCTCGCATAACCGCACTCTTGTATAGCCATTTTAGTCAAGTTTTTTTTATTTTCTTTTAATTTAATAAAGTCACAGAATTGTATTCGCGATTGTGATATTCGAAGTGTTAACGTCAACAACAATTTGAGCTATTGCATGAATGACCGTTGCATAAACTCGAACAGAGAGATTCACGAATAGCGCGGAAACGTTCTATGCACGTGCGACGATTAGTCTTATTCGATTGCGAAGTGCGTTCCCGCGAACATTTTATCTTCTATTTCTGGGAGAAGGTCAATCAACAAAATTTATTCGGTAATGGATATAGACATTTAAAGACATATGAATAATGAAAGAATAATAACTAATGCGTCGATGATAATAGATTACGTTTTAACAATATGCAACTCTGGGCATAACAATTAATATTTTAATCTACTTATTGTATAATGATAGTAACTAAACAATGTATCATAACGCGTATGTGTAATATAGTGTAAATAATTGCTGGTAGATAAATCTTTCTTTTAATATTTTGTTGATTTTCATGTTACTTCCTTGAAACAATTTTCGAAATGTATGTACCTAATTCCGCGTACCGGAGCACATAAAACAGAAACCAAACTCTGCAGTAATAATTAACGCAATATATTCCTATGTTTATTCTCCATACCGACGTCTGTTTCCACATTACATCCGTCGGTTTATTTACATTGTTACTCCACTTTCCGCATTCAACGTCGGGATAAGCTTCGTTATTCCGGCAGGGTTTTGCTGAGGCAAAACTCAGAATTTGAGTGACAATGAGGCGCACATGTTTCCTCCTATTCTTTTTCAAGAAGAATTTCTCTTACTAATTGAATTTTCTCTACGCGCACTGAGCGGAAAATGACGATGATCTCGAGCCAAATGTGCAAGACAGTCCGACTGGAGCGACTCAATTTCATGTATCTCGGTCGTTACTCTACATAATTGTAAACGAGAGCACCGCGAGCGCCCTTGGCGAAGACGTCCGCGGATAACGGCGACGAAGACGAGAAAACGACGACGACGACGACGGTATGAGCGAGGCCGTTCGTTCTTGTATTTTTAGTGGCTCGTAAACTAGGCACTGGCCGTCTTTTGATCTCGTTGTCTCTTTCTTTCTCATGTAATAACGACACATATAGTTCGGCGATTAAAGAATAAGAGTGATTTTATTTTTTAAAAAGCTACAATTAATGAAACTCGATTTATTTTGCAAATTGCCGCATAGACGGGCAAGCAAAAATTAGAGAGAAGTAGTATAAAGAGTAGCTGTTTGATAAGCAAAAGATGCTTTACATAATTTCATTAAAAATAATAGTTATTTGAATGAATCAAGCGACGATTGGAACGGTTTATTTTGCTAACAGGAAGTAATCGCAAGGTGCCAAATCCGGAGAGTATAGTGGGTGAGCAAATACGTTTGCTTGTTTTCAAGCCAAAAGTTGAAATTGCCACTGAATGGAGAACCTTTCAGAAATATTAAAATATACAAAAGATACCAAAGCAAAATTTTTACAAATCAATTCCAGCCATTAAGTGTCAACAACGCGTTCTATGAAAATATTTAAACTAAAATCATTTTTTTTTCATAATCAACCTAATTATCTGATATAAAATCAGTCTTATTATTTAATCGCTAGATCACATATATACTACAATTTCTTGTAAAGCATTTGTTCCTTTGTCATCTCGAATATTGAAGAAAAGTTGTGGAGATGGAAGTTCTGAGTTTTGCAGCGGATTGAATTGAGAATTGTAAATATAGATGCAATGTGGATCCTTGGTCGATCAATCGGAGCTGACCCGAAAGACGAGGCCGACGGACGCGTCTTGATCGAATATGCATTCTTCGTCAAAGACAAACCTAATTTAGTTAACTGTCTTCAACTCCATCGTGGCAGCTGTCGATGTGACGACGAGCAAAATAACTATAAAGGCACACCTGTCACCTTTAATGGAGAGTAAAATGTGAGATGTCGCTCGTTGTTACTTCGCGAAAAAGCTATGTACAATCCCTCGTCTACATACTATGTACAGTCTAACAATTGTTCTTACAATATTAATTTTTTTTAACTTCGTATTTTTAGTTCACAATTCCGATCATCGGATATACATACGCGAATGATTGTGACGGTCTGATGTCATTTGTATCTTGATCCTTTCTCGATAAGCTTCTCAGCCAAAAAAGAAAGGGAACGAATGATGAAAAGTAAAAATAGATTTCTTATACATGACGGTGTATTTATATATTTATTCGCGCAATGTCCGTGGTTCTTTCCGAGTAAAGGAATAAGAATCATGTTTCTAAAGCTTATTGTAATCTTGCTTTTAATCAATAATGTGTTTCTCAATACATTAATATGTATTTATAATGATTTATGACATATTATTAATCGTAGAAAGTATGGATAAGATATAGATCAAAGGCATCCATCTGGCTCTTTCGTGTTTGACTGATTTTTTAATTATCTATATTGACTAGTGGGTTATTGCCCAATTTCTCTTGACTTTCGACTATTACGGCGGCAACCGGTGGACGCAGTCCAATTTATCTGGCACAGCTTTTCGAAAATTCCTCCGCTCCGTGTTCATATATCTCCCTCTCGCTTCGCGCCTCAAATCATTTTGCCAGTCGTTTCGCGGGGGTGTCCGTTAACCGAACGCTGTTGCGTTACTCTCAACTATAGCGGAACGAAGGGATGGACGGAGAGGTAAAGACAGAGAAAAAGAGAGAGAGAGAAAGAGAGAGAGAAAGAGAGAAAGAGAGAGAGAGAGAGAGAGAGAGAGAGATGCGTAAGAAACAAGTAGATAAAAAGAGACGCTGAGAAAAAGAGATGCGGATATGTGATCACATAAGAGCAAAGAAGCGTAACGAAAAGAGAAGCTACAGCTACAGCGGGTAGGATGCGGACAAACAGAGAAAGAAAGAGAGAGAGAGAGAGAGAGAGAGAGAGAGAGAGAGAGAGAGTGTGTGTGTGTATGTGTGAGACAGACGGCAAAACCGAGAGCGAGCGAGAAGACAACAGAAATAGAGGGGAAGAGAATCGGAACCACCTCTCCTGTTTCTTCTAGCTCTATTCTAAGGAAGTCGTCACCAAAAATGGCGGGGCGCGCGAAGCATGTATGCGACGATGCGCGTAACAACGTCGCCCGCACGTTGTTATCGCTCGGTCTCACCGCGAGGTGTAATCAAGGCCCTCGCGAGGCGAAGCGCAACGATGATTTTCCCAAGCGCAGAAAACCAAGAGAAGGGGACAATATCTCGATATCTATAACCGATAATTGTAACCCAACACCCGCCGCAGCGGTTTGGTCTCTGTACGCTCGAATGAAGCGCAGCCCGCCAAGAATGCACGCAATCTGCCAAGGAGCCGGAACGATAAGCGTAAAAATGTGCAAAAACGGGATCGATCTCTCCTTACAGCCACCTGAGGAAGCGGAGCATACTTATAATTAGAATGTGAAACATCGTTGTCCATTTAAAGCGCTAGAATTTTATTCTGTCGATTATTTAATTATTAATTCATATATATTTTGTAAGAAACGTCTTCATACCGGTGGGTTTGACGGTTTTCTTAATTAATATATGCGTGCTCTAATTAAAATGCATACGATTCCAACAAAATATTCTCTATAATGCTTGCTGTTAAATGTATTTCACTATCATTTTTTGCAAAATAAATGTATGTATTTTCAACCAATGTTTATTCCGATATTTTATTTTTATGTTTTATTATTTACGGCTTTCCTAAATTGAGGAGTGATTTCTCGACAGATGCCCGAAGTTGCACCACATGCGACAAAGTCCTGGCCGAATTGGAAAAAATCGACGACGATACAGACCATTTTGGAGTTGACTTTGTCAAGATCAACGATAAGCGATTGGCGAAGCAATATGGTATCAAAAACTTCCCGGCTCTTACGTATTTCCGCGAAAAAGAACCAATCATATACGAAGGTAAGCTAGTACTTAAACACCTGTTTGAGCATACAAGAAATATCGTGATTAGTAATTCGCTAAAATTGTGACATTGATTTAATGAGAACAACAATAGAAAATTTACTAAAATCAATAACCGAAAATCAATTGTGCTGTGACATAATAAAATAAAAAAGGATAGATCTCTTATACATATATGTACATGAGTCACTATGTTAAAACACCTAATATATAAAAAAAGGTGTATGTAATATTTTACTTCAGGTGACCTGATGGACGAGGAGAATGTATTGGATTTTCTCACGAGTTTAGAAGCAATGGATCGACCAGATCGTATTGAAGAAGTTAATGCAAAAATTCTGTCAAAGATCATCGAGGAAACCGATTTCGTGGCGGTTCTTTTCTGTAAGTCACTTTCCTCATTATACATTAATTGGATTATGCTCAGCTAAAAACATATCTGAAAGATCGTACGCTATCATTCGAAGCACGTTCTCCAATGTTCACCGTTTTATTTCCAATAAAATACCGTTTCACTGACTGTCAGAAAAGATTTTATAAAATACGTATGTAAAATATTGTTAAAAACTAGACAAATCAAAGTTAAATAATTGAATAGAAACGATTCTAATCGATAATGTCACATTATTTACATTCAATCATCAAATCGTAACTAAAGAGAAAAAATTCTGATAACATATCCCAGTGACTACGACAAATATTTTCCTCACAAATATTTTTTATAAAATACATATGTAAAATTAGTGCAAGAAGTTTGATAATTTTACGTTTTTAAAATGTGAGAACCTCGCTACGAAGTTACTTCTATACATTTAATCTTCAAAGTAAAAAGAGAAAATGTTATACATTGTATCAAGTTTGTATTCGAGACAATTTGAGAAAGCTGTTTAACTTGTAAACGATCGAAACAGCAAAAGAGAAACGTATAGACAAAGAATGAGAAACGCGGAACGAGGTAGTCGCTCGCGAGCGTATGGTTGAACAACTCTAATTTAAGTGCATGAATGATGTTTTAACTAATGGCGAAGACGTGGGTAAACCGGAGGATGACTGGTCTCAACTGGCGCCTCCGAATTCTTTCTCAGTCAGTGTATCTTGTAAGATTCTGTCTGGTTCGAAACCCATCTGGTTCGAAACTAAGTTCTAGGCTAGTAACTGTATCAGTCGACGTCGAAAAATCAACGGAAACACAGTGAAGCTGTACGTAATGTACCCCCGATCGCCATCCGTGTACCTGTCGTCCGTTTAATTTGTTATTGTCTGAAATCTTACTAATCATTTTGTGTATGTCACGTGTGCGACGGAATTGTCCGTCACTCTGTACATAAAATATAGAAATAACGATTAATTTTCTTGCAAATTCGTTGTGATTTCAAAGTATTGCGTATGCACGTCGATCATTATAAAGCATAATAAATTAACGAAATGTCAAATTTAATGAGGTGGCTTTCCAGATCTTTCGCTGCCGTTATTATAAGGCTCTTAATCGTAATTAGATACGTATGTATCACGATGTACAGTTTCATGTTTCTTGAATTGCAGTTGTTTCTAATTTCATACATACAGAGAAGGATTCAAAGAGAAATATTTCCTTATTAGTTGTTTAATCAACAAATCACATGATAGAAAATAATGTTTTGTTAGTCGACAGCAATCGTTCTCTGTATAAAATACAGTGTTTCTTTCATCAATTTGTCTATCGTTATACTACCTGTAAAGTTTACCTAATTATATCTATTGTTTTTGTTTGTTTTTGTCTTTCGTCCATTACACATACCGATGATCATCAAGTTAAAATATCCTATCGCAAAATGGGTAATATCAATAAGAATAAAAATTTCAACAATGATAGACAATCATATCTTGAACGTTTGAAAATAAACATCCAATTTGCGATTCGATCACATACAAAATATACTTGTAAATAATACATATATGTGAAAATTCTTGTGTGTGTTGATATGGATAGGTCCAGACTCGGAGCGGTGTGCGGGCACCGGTTCTAGTAAGTACATACTTATAAGAGATCGATGTGGTTAAAATCTGTGCATCTTTATCCTGCGCTTTTTTACACAGACGCACACACACATAATACAGAGCTACATGCATTCGATATCGGCTGACGCACTAATGAAAGATCACTTTGCTGTTCACGCAGTTTTACTACCAATGCAATGCTTGAAATAAATTATTTGTTTTCTTAAAGTGCCAATTCTTTTACTGCAGTGTATTATAATATTTATTGTTACATTACAATGTCAGAGCAAAAAATTATGTGTTTCTTTATCGTGAGATTGCTTTTCCTTTCTTTTTTTGTGAGTAAGTGATTCTTCGCGAGTGCATCATCCGGATACGCGATATATTAATACGCATTTACCTATGGCAATTTCTTTCGAAACACTTAACTTATCGATCTGCGTGTTCATCGATTATCAGAGTTGTATCTATCGCGTCGTCCCTGCAGCACTTCGCTCCAATGTGCGTGTACACAACGACAGAGGGATGTGGGTACGCGAAGAGAAACGGATGTCAATGAAGCGGCAAGGACTTTTACATTCATACATTTCACTCTCCATATACGAGTTCCAATATACGATGCAAATACTCCGATGAAATCTCTTAGAAATTAGTTTTAGTGAACTAGAGCAGTGAATACGAAATAACGATTTAATGTGTAATATTAAGAGTCAACTAACATCTCAAGCTTTTCAAGTTTTCTTTCTTTCATTGTCTATGCGTTTTGAATTGTGAATCTTGGTTAATTAAAGTGTTAGCAAATATTCAATCATTCCGTATTCATCATAAATGTGTACCAAGATATAGAATATAGAATGATATAGAATATAGAATGCATTATTTCGCATCCTTTTATATGAAATGATATGTATTATAAGAGTGAAATTTCGAGAATAATTGTGTATACTAATCCAATCATTTCAATAGCATTTGCAGCAATAGCTAGAGCATTCTAACATATCTAAGAACAATAATCCCCAATATTCTAAAAATAAAAAAATAAAAATAATTGATTAGGTTTCTCGATAACGTGGCAAAATTTTCTGACTTTTATATATTTTATGTAGTAATACCGACATTTTGTTAAATGCGCTCAATGAGCAAGATAAAATTCGAATTATAGGAGACAAGTTAATCTTATGAAAAAAACCGTATATATGGACGGAATAAAACTCCAGAAAGGTATTAATCATTCAATAACAGAAGCACGCAATAATGCATCTTTTTGTTTCAAATGGGACAGACAAGCCAGACTGCAAGAAGTGTATCAAGGCTCTGCAAGAACTGGAGAACATCGACGACGAAGCCGATCAATTAGGTATCGGCTTCGTAAAGATCGCGGACGAACAACTAGCGGACGAGTATAATCTAGGTCCTCTCCCAGTTCTTGTGTATTATAGGCACCAAATTCCGGTCATTTACGAACGTAAGTACGAGAGAAATGTGAGTAACGTGAGTAACGTCGCGTAACGTTACGCAATACATAATTAAAATTATTTATTTGTAAGTTCAGTTTTAACTTTACACATCAGCACTGAAATGTCGATCCTGCAAAACATTTCACAACAGAAAGAAACAAACTTAGATTATGGTCCACTTCGGATTCTACGTTGTTGCGTTAATTGTGAGCCTTTTAATATATAAAATTAATTAAATTCTACATAAGGTAAAAAGTAAGATAATTTAGTGATATTTTACCTTAATTTTTTCTTTTAAAATGTACTTGATATATTTCACATCTATTTGTAATAACATATCTTGCAGAACTTAGCGAAACTTTAATGAGATACGAAAAATTCGATGGTTAATGATTAATTATCAAATTTCCTGTGTCATTGAAATATTTTACTGTATCCTATTTAAATTATATGGATTAGATAAAGAAGTGAAATTAACTCGCAGTACGTGCTCTTAGATGAACTGAGTAAAGAAGAAGACGTGCTGGAATGGTTGGTGGCAAACAAGAGCACGGGAGATGAAGAAGACGTTATCGAAGATGTCACCGCCAAGACGTTGAACACGCTAATTGGAAATATTGACAATTTAGTCGTTCTGTTCTGTTCGTAACTTTTTGCCTATCTTTCTTTCTGTCTAATTTTCCTTGATCTCGCTTCGTAATGCGCCTTCGTGATTGTAGACGACCACGGTGACGAGGATTCTATGCAGGTCCTAAACGAGCTAGAAAAGATCGACGATGACTGCGACAAACACGGTATTCAGTTCGTGAAGATCGACGATGAGAAGGCGGCGAAAGAATTTGGAATCGACGATTTACCCGCGATCGTCTATTTCGAAAAGCAGATCCCGAATGTTTACGACGGTGGGTAGGTGAATCGAACATAACGAGCGAAATGACAGTTTGCAAATGGTATCAAAAATAATCGCAGAAGAAATCGTGCAGTGTCTAACTAGTCTAACTAATAAAAGAAAAAATTTATAAATTATTTGTATAAATTAATTTATCTAAAAAAAAACAACACGACAATTGCAGGAGATGTAGAAAATGAGGACGAAATTCTGGAGTGGCTATTGTCGCAACTCGAGAAAGACGAGATCGAAGACGTTACCGATGAGATGCTGGATCGTCTTGTCAAAGATGGAAAGACCTTGGCTGTATTATTCTGTAAGTTGCTTGTGAGTTTATTGATCGACATTATAGATATTAAATTGATATTAAAACGTATTCATAATGCAGACGACAATAACGATCGAAAGTCTCAGAGAGTTCTCAATGAATTGGAGAACATCGACGATGAATGTGATCAGCTCGGCGTAACGTTCGTGAAGATTGATAACGCGGAGGAGGCTAAGGAGTACGGCATTCAAAAAGTACCTTCGATGCTCTACTTCGAAAAGGGCATTCCGACGTTATACGAGGGCAACCTCGAGGACGAGGAGAAGGTGCTCAAATGGTTGGAGCAGCAGCAAAAGGCTGACCAGATTGAAGACGTCACCGACGAGATGCTCGACATGGTTATAGAGAAGATGCCACACGTAGCCGTTCTCTTTTGTCAGTAATACACTTCTCGGGTTTCTTTCCTTTCTATCTGACTTCTCATTTTGAAACTGCGCTATCGCGTTATTCTAATTATCGACATAATCATTAGCATAATCATTGATATGATTCTATCGTCATTCCACAGATGACAAAGATCAGAAAAAGAGTCAGAAGGTGCTGAGCGAACTGGAGAACATCGACGACGACTGTGACCAGCACAACATAGCCTTCGTAAAGATCAGCGACCTGGAGGAAGCAAAAGAATATGGCATAGATTCACTTCCCACTTTGGTGCTTTTTGAACGAAGGATACCACATATTTACGATGGTGAGTCATGTTGAAGATTTTTATTTACGTAAAAAAAGAGAATAAAGCAACATAATCGCAAATAGAGAAATCGAATTGAGAAAATTCTTTCAACTGCATTCCGCAGGCGATCTCATGAACGAGGATCAGCTACTGGGCTGGCTGCTACATCAGAAAAAACACTCCGAGATCCCGGAAGTAACGGACGAAATGGTCGAAAAGCTCATAGAGACCTCGCCGTACATAGCAGTCCTGTTTTGTAAGCGATCGATTCGTCTTTCTACCTCCTTTTAACATTCTTCCACTGTTACTTGTTAGGTAGGTGCTGTTGTACGGTCGCGAGTGAGAGCGACCAGCGAATTGATTCTTTTCCGTAGACGACAAGGACGACAAACAGGACATGCGAATCCTGAACGAGTTGGAGAACATAGACGACGAGCTGGAGAAGGAAGGGATCGTCATCGTCCGCATAGACAACGACGCCGAGGCCAAGGAGTACGGCATCGATCATCTCCCGACCCTGGTGTACTTCGAGGATAAAATCCCGGCGATATATGAGGGCGATCTGCTGAACGAGGACGAGGTCCTCGAATGGTTGATAGAACAGAAGAACAGCGCTACCATTGAGGAGGTCACGGACGAGATACTGACGGATCTCATAGAGGAGCACGAATACGTTGTGGTATATTTCAGTAAGCACGCATTGATGATCAATAGCTTTATCCAGTTAATTGTTCTCTTCGTTTGCTTGCGACATAATCGACCAAAAATTGCGACAGGTGGAAGCTGCGACGAAGGAGAAGAATGCGACAATATCCTCGACGATTTGGAGAATATTGATGACGAGCTGGATGAAACAGGCATTATATTCGTTACTACTGAAGACACCACCACAGCGAAGAAGTATGGTATCAAACGTTTCCCGACTCTCGCGTTCTTCCGAAACAAGGATCCGCTGATTTATACTGGCGATCTCGACGACGAAGACGAGGTGCTGTCTTGGATCACAGACGAGGACACTTTGGAGATACCGGGAAAAATCGAAGAGGTCAATGCTAAAATGCTGGAGAATATTCTCGACGAAAACGATTACGTCGTAGTCTTTTTCTGTACGTTAATACGTCAAACGCATTACTGTATATAATTTGCTATATATTGATTGATTGATCGTGATATAATGGAAACGCTTGCAGACAAAGAAGGAGACAAGAAGAGCCAGAAGATCCTCCAGGAGCTCGAGAACATTGATGACGAGTGCGAGGAGAAGGAGATCGACTTTGTAAAGATCTCCGACGAGGGAATCGAGAAGGAATACGATCTTCCGGGACTACCGGCGCTGGCATTCTATAGACACAAGTTCCGGCAGATCTATTCGGGCGACATGATGCACGAGGAAGAGATATTAGAATGGGTCCTTGAGCTTCGTACAACAACGCCGGATGTTATCGAGAGCGTCGATAGAAAAACATTACAAGTACTCATCAACGATGTCGAGCATCTCGCCGTATTCTTTTGTAAGTATTAACTTTTAACTACTAAATTCATGTACATATAGGCTGTTTCGGCATTACAGAAAAATATTTATAATATAATAAAAGTAAGTAAAGATATTTACATATAATAGAAGTCTTTACATAATGTATCTATATATCTGTTTATCGATTATCTGTATATTATTTATATCTTAGTTCTTTGATACGTTTGTTTTAAAGAAAATTTGGCTCAAATTTAGCCAAAGAATTCATAATTAAAATGGTTTTACGGAATAAGGGACGTTTTATATAATAATATATTATTGTTCTTTCTTAACTAAGATAAAACCAAGGATAAAACGGATATATTGTTTATTTTGATTTTTTCAGAGCTAACGTAAAATTAGAATTTATAATTCCAAATAGCATTTATTCTAATAAAAATAAATAAAAAAAATGATATAAATTTATATTTTGCGTATGTCTTTGAGATTATGGATGATAAAACAATTATGATTTTTATCAGACGACGACAAGAGTGAATCCTGCGCGGAGATTCTCGAGGAGTTAGAAACGATTGACGATGATACTGACAAACATGGTATTCAATTCGTCAAATCGAACGACGCTAAACTGGCGGCGGAAATCGGCGTTTTTTCCTTCCCGGCTCTCGTTTACTACGAGACCGGAGTCCCTATCATGTACGACGGTAAGTACCAAAAGTTTTTAATTTTGTTTTTTATTATCGAGCTTACCCTTCCCCTATCCTACAATCCTCGTATTTTTTTCATGGAAGAGAAACAAGATCTAAATACCTTATGCTACGCGTTCTCTCTTTATTAAGTCACTCTACACTACCTCAAAGTAAATCGTCATTAATTAACGAAAAGATTCTAATAAAATAAAATTTCAATAATAATGCAATGTGTTTAATTAATTTTTTTAGTGGTTAAATAAAAAGCCGGATTGCTACTAACTTTTCTTGAAAAATTATATCAATTCGAAGTAGTATTATAAAGTATTACAAAATTCGAATATATTGAGATATATGTATAAATACGATCACAATGTGAAGAGCGACTTAGCGTGTTCCTTTCAGCAATTTCCACGTCGATAAAGCGATAACGCGAAACATGACACCGACAATGATCACGGTGCGTTATCGAAGCTGATCCTGATACGCGTGTGTGCCTTTTGTAGGTAATCTTAAGAACGAGGACAAAGTTCTGGAATGGCTAATCGAACAGAAAAGTAAGGAGATTTCTAGGATGATGATTATTATTACTGGTGTACTGTTCTTTGTGACGTTAATCTCGGTCGTGACTATACCATCGGGCTACGAGTACAACACTCGCGCCGTGGTGATCACCCCGGTCACTCTACCGCCACCACGATCGCCATGATCGCAGTCGTAATAAACGAGAAAGAAGGGAAAAAAACGAATGAAACGTCCGTTGAATCTAAGGGGATTTTCTGTATCGTTTATTGTGTCGATTTTATTGCCGGCAGAAGTTTCGGTCCGCGCACTGATAAAAAAAAAAAGAGTTCGATCCAAAATGTAGGACGTCACGAAGCTCGGTGAAACGCGATTTTCAACATGCACGCTGGCTACATTATATTCTCAATCACGGTATAATGCATTTAAATCACACTCGCAAGCTTATCTTACTTATTTTGCCCTTTTTGTACTCGCTGTTTCGTTACATACTAGTATGAAGTTGCATCGATGCAATAATGCACGTCACGTGTTGCCGGTGATGCGTCGTGCAAAATCTTCCCGAGCCTGTTTCGCGAAAGAAAACGTCACGGCGCGTCATCGTTAAAATATAAATAACGATTTTATAAAATGCTCAAATATTTGAAGCTTTACATATCTCGCAGTTTTCGGTGCACTAACGGCTGTTTTTTCTTCTTCTCTGTCTTTTTTTATTTCTTTTCTTTTTGGACGCGTTTAACGAAGCTTTCGTGATTTAAATCAATATAAAGTCAAAATTGCAAATCAAAACTGTGGAAACTTGAACTATAAAGTATATTCTTATTTCAGAAATTAAAAAGAAAAGTATAATACAAAAAAATATATAAATATATGTTATAGATAAATTCTATTATATTTATTATAGATTTTATGTTTATATTGACAATTGATATCAATATCAGTATCATTGTTAATTGATACTTTTGTATATTATCGTCTTTAAATCACATAAATACGATAATCCTTGTAACTTTTCGTAAGCACGATTGCTTCACAACATATGCCCACATTGTGGACATTATTTGAATACCTTAATCTGTCTTATTCACATTCGTGTGATAAATAAACGCGTAAACTGTAAATGTTATATAAAATAGAAAGTGGGAAAAATATCAGATTTCTTCTTTTTTATATAATAAAATATAACAATATATTGCGTATGTAACAGAGTTGCGGGAATGTTTAATGTGATGCGTCTATAATGTTTGTTATTAAAAATTTTTTTATGCATGTCATCCCTTTGGACCGAGGCCGTATCGATCACAAAAAACTTAGGTACACAATTTGGTTCTCGATCGCGCTGTATATTATCCATGATCCGTTAATATGCAGGTAATGGTAATGATCGTGATGATGATGACGACGACGACGATAACGACGACGATAACGACGACGAAGACGACGATGACGACGACAATAATGATGATGATGATAATGATGATGATGAGGATGAGGATGA